ATAACCAGCCTGAAAAGCTTAAGAGGGAAGCACAAAGATTGATTTTTTATTGTGTTTTTAGAAATATGCTTCTTGCTAAAAATCATTCTTACTTGACATTCTGATGACAGTTTTCCTCAAATTAGTAGAGGCTACCTGTTCTAAAGTATAACAGTCATGCTAATAAGTTTTATATGAGAGTAGTTAAAAGCATTCATGATGTCTTACTGATAAGGAAGTATTTATAATAGAATCTGAATCTGGTTCAAATGGGAGCACTGGAAAATGCACTGTTTTGGGAAAACAAGGCTATCTAGGACATTTGTGAATGTTTTATATATGTTAGCTTCTTACTTCTGGAAAACTTGAAATTAAAGACTTAAACGAGATTCAAGGACCAAAATAGTAATCAAATCCTAATACAATCAGATTAGGATAATATTGACAGATTAACAGTGAGTTACTCAGACACAGCCTGTTATCAGGTTCAGTGTTTTCATGTCACTGAATTATTTATTTCATATTGACTTCAGAGTAACAGATAATTAAGATTTAAGGAATATGGCTAGGGAAAACTATTATCATTAACATTTTAAATTGCTCTGTAAAATAAAATGAGGTATTTCATGAAATAAATTCATTCATTTCTCTCTCTTGGGCTCAGAGGAATACAAACTGAATGTAATCTGAACTGCTTAAGAGATGAATGGTCTTTTATTTATTTAATAATTCTGTAATTCATTTATCAGAAAAGCTGCCTTTTTCCCCCTCCTTCCTTTTAATTTTTTTCCTTTTAGAAATGAACATTTATATATCTTGACTTGATTATCTTAGGTGTGAGATTACTCACTAAGTTAAGAATTGCTTTGGTTTTATAGATTTTTTTTTTAAAGATTTATTTATTTGTGCATACAGAACTGGGGTACAGGCCAGAGGTTCAGGGGCGGCGAGAGGCTTCACCAAAGACAGACTGGGGAGCAGAACAGGCAGATCGATGAAGTACACTGGTGAGGGGAGCAGCGGGTGGGTCAGGAGAGGTCTGCCTCGCCATGTGGTCACCTCCGGGGCAGGCGGGAATCGAACTCATGCGGAAGTGGCTTTAGCTTCTTAATGCTGTGCTCTAACCCGCTGCGCCACCAGGGAGGGCCTTATAGATTTTTTTAACTGAATGGCATGAGAAATTTAAGTTTAGTTATTTTAAGAATTAGACTGAGTCCTCGAGGTAGCATGAGTACATTTGGGTGTCACCATATTGAGGGCCTGTTTTGAAGTCTGAATAAGTAAGATAGGTATCTTTTTGGTGGGATTTTAAAAGGAGTCCTTAAGGATCATCCAGTTTGTTCCACTGTTCATCTATTCAACAAATACTCAATTTATCTAAGTATTACTTTTCCCAGATACTGATAACTATGTCAGCTCAGTATCTCAAACTTGAAAATGTAAGGGCTGCTGTATCCAGTTCAGTAGATACTAGCCACTTTTTAATTTTCATTAATTGAAATGAAGTAAAGTTAAAAATTCAGTTCCTTAGGTATACTTGCTAGTTTTCAAATGTTCAACCAAGTATTCTGTGGGTGGAGTCGACCACATCAGACAGTATCTTCTCTAATTGCATCATTCCCATCTATTTCATCACCTATCACTTATGTCTCTCAAATATGTTCTCTTTAAAAATTTCCTGTCATAGTTTAGGGGTTAATCATCTGTCAACTGAAGTAAGACTCCAGTGTTACCAAGGCTGAAGAATCCTTCTAATACTCACTCCCTCCAGTGGCAGCCATTTTCTTCCTTGTGCTATCTTAATTCCATGCATCATTTTCATCACATTGAATGCTAGTTCCTTATTTTTTCTGGTGGACTAAGAGCTTCTTGGGTGTATGTGAATGGCCTATAATTTTCCATAGTAGACACACAATTCTTGCATAAAACTACAAGAAATGTTAATTGAGCAGATAGAGAGATATGGGTGGGTGAGGGATATTGTGTCAGTTGCTTTCTAAAGGCTAGAGACAAATTAGATGCATGGAAGCAAGAAGAGAAGAGGGCATTCATGATGGAGACATTCATGAATGTAAGTCTAATGGTACATTACAGGGCAACTATGCCCTTAGACTGTAGCCACAGAGGTACATTTTCAGCACCACCTAGAACTTACCCGTGATACATAAACACAACTTGAATTATGGTATGACATATAAGTGTTTCCTTGTGCTTACTAATATGACACCTCTGAGATGGTATCGGAGATTGTTTTCAGAGGGTGAAGTCAAATAAGGTTAATAAGTATATTTACCCCTATAAAATCAGACAACATACTTACGAAGTCTAGTTAATTCTTCAGCACTGTAATGGTTCCTCATTTGTGTTAGCAGCTCATTAGGAAAGAAAAAATGCATGTTTATGCATCTAAACTGAGGCTGTCTAGTATAAGTAGTTCAGAATAGTGACTTCGGTGAGACAGACCTGTCCTGCCTCTGCCCCTTCTAAACTATGTAATCCCCAGGCCATTCCCCTCTGGTCTTCACTCTCCTGATCTATTGCCTTCCCTGTTTCAGTTTTTCCCATCCACCAAAGAAAGATAATAATAGGGCACTCCTGTGAGAGTGAAAGGAGATAATCCATGACAAATACTTGGCAGAATTGAAACATAGTACAACTTCAGTGATTGTTGTCTATAATAGAGGCTGAATTATTTTTATTAGACTCTACCCTCTTTATGCCCCTTTGACCTTTTTCGCTGTTAACCTCAGAAACCTCACTTTATTAATATTTGCTAGTTTTCATACATATTTCACTTTGTTGCTATGTAATGTAAAGCATGTAAGAATTACATGTAATTCTTGCAATTTACATGTAACTTAATGTAAAATACATGTAATTTAATGTAATTCCTACATGTTTTACTCCAAATAATTCCCTTGCTGTCTTCCGCATTGCTGTAAGTGGTAATATTTCATTTTTCTTTATGGATGAATAATATTCCATTATGTGGATATACCACCTCTTCTTAATTCAGTTCTCTATCAATGGACATTTAAGTTTCTATGTCATAACTATTTAGGCAATACTACAGTGGATGTTGTAGAGCATATGATTTTTTTAGTTAATAATTTCATGTTCTTTGGATAGGTCAAAAAAATGGGATTTTGTAAGATCATATACATCCCCCATTTTGTAAGATGACCTTAAAAAATGTCTGCACTGGCCCCCCGTGTTGGCGCAGCGGGTTAAAGCACTGCACTGAGAAGCTAAAGCCACTTCTGCATGAGTTCGATCCCTGCCTGCTCCGGAGGTGACCACATGGCGCGGCAAACCTTTCCCGACCGGCTGCCCGCTGCTCCCCTCAGTAGTGTACTTCATTGATCTGCCTGTTCTGCTCCCCACTCTGTCTCTGGTGAAGCCTCTCACCGCCCCTGAGCCTCTGGCCTACACCCCAGTTCTGTATGTACAAATAAAATAAAATCTTTAAAAAAAAAAAATGTCTGCACCAGTGTAGTTTCCCACCAGCAGTGTAATAGGGTTCCTCTTAGCATTCTGTGAAGCACTTGATGGGAATCCAGTTTCCTCATTTTTTAATGGAGGAATTACTTGCATAACTTAGGTCATTTAGCACTCTCCTTAATCCTGAGTAAAGCATTCACTAAGTGATAAATATAACAAGATGATAATTCTATAACCTTTCACAAAAATGAGAAAAATCATAGTAGTGTTTCCCAAAGGAAGAGTTAACACATGATTGCTAAACATAAACGGTCATCCAGAAAACACATATTAGATATTTTCCTTGCCCTTTTGCACATTAAGTTAAAGATAACTATCGCCAAAGTGAAGTGTACAGTGCTGGTTACTTTCAATATTATTCAGTAAGATGGCCTGGTAGAAGAAATATTTGGCCTGTATAACCTAAGACCCAGGGATAATTCTCTGTATTTGAAAATCAGGTAATCACTTAGGTAAATTGCTTAGAAAAATCTCTTTTTAGCTTTTTATTTTGTATAATGAAGAGCACACATTATACAGCTGCTCCTAAGGAAGAGGAAATTATGTACTGCTTAATTTTAAATAAGCAAACGAGGGTGTGTACAAGTTTGAGTATCATTGACTGTTGTATTTGTTTTTCATACCTTCCAGAGGGTGATGAAAGTGTTAACTATGTCGGTTCTCATTCATTACCTACAGGCCTCAATATAATGCATGCATACTCAGATCATTCTTTCAAGTACACTCAACATTGCTTTCCTTCCATGAGGAAATTGCACACTTCTCCTTTCCTCTTTGTACTGTTCTTGCTTTCTTGCCTCTACCTTGTATTATAATTATCTTCATTTATTAGTCACCATCTTGAGGCTGTAAGTTCTTTTCACATATAGGCATTTTCTTACTCATTTTTGTGTCTACAGTTTTTAAGGAGTGACTAACTTACACACCATACTTGGTAAAGTTTTCCTGAACAAATGAATAATAATTACTAAATGTTTCTGGTGTGTATTCTTCCTGAGTAAACCATAGCTCTAGTTCTTTATAGCTCCCTGACAGGTCAGTTCAGTAGGTATTACATCTTTGTTACTATCTTATCACCATAGGTACTATTAAAACATTTATAAATTGATCACAGATGTTTTTACTGAATTGAAATATTTGTGTGAAATACAAGTGTTCTTATGTGAGAATTATGTGAATAATAAGTATTTCACTCATTCTTTGGGCAGTACATAACCTAAAATATAAAGTGAGCTGTTCAGGTAACTTTACCCATCATATAATTGACTTTTGTTTTTCTGCCCATGGTTATTATTTATTATAATTTCTTGAAGTTAATTTTAGAACTTAGTCCAGAAAAGGTGGTTGGTATTATGCAGGAATTCACTTACCTTATTAGCTCCTTGCTTAAACTAATTAAAAAATAAGTTTGGACTGAGTGTTCCTTGATGAAATATGAAATTTGACTTTGACCTTATTGAAGACTTAAATGCATTTTTCTTACCAATATGTAATTTTTGTTTGTTTTCTGTTTAGGTTTAATACCAGTTGCTGTTACTATTGATACCTGAGCCAAAGTGGTGATGCTGCCTGAGGGAAATTTCTGCAGTTCGTAAGTCAACAACTATATGGTGCGTTTAACTTTTACCCATAACCTTTTAATTTCTAAAAACATTATAGATTAGAATTTTAATTTTAAACATTATAGATTTAGTTAAATACAGAAAAGTATTAAATATTTAATATTTCAAAATGTTGAATATTAACGTTGGATATGTAAATACTAAAAGCAGATAATATGTTATAGCTTTATAGATCCTAATTACCAGTTCAGGAATTTGAAAGAAAAAAATATAACTTGATGGATTCACATTTTACTAATTTTTGTGTGAAAAAAATATGTATATATATATATATATGTGTATATATATATATGTATATATATACACACACATACACACATATATATATTTTGGCTATTCACGTATTTATTTATCTGACTTGGGGTTTAAGCAGTTTTTATTACCTGAATCTTGGTAATAGTGAATGGGCATGAGGAGCCTAAACACTAAAACTTAAATCTAGTCAGGTTTATTTTGACTTGCCCTAAGCTGAAGTGGCAATGATCCCCACAGTAGGTATAGTGGGGTTTGAGTAACTTAGAGATTTAAATGATCTATCTTACTGTCTTTGGAGAATGATTCAAGTGTAATGAAACCTAACAGTCTTACATGGCGAGTTCTTTCTTTGAAGCTCAGAAAAATTATCTTACCTATTTTAGAGAATTATAAAAATCAAATGAGATGCTGTATGTAGAATTATACATTTTCTTTTGTTTGTGGAAGAGTGGAGAGAATAACAAGTATTTTGGTTTTGAGGTGGTATTGAGAGAACATTTTGCTCTCAGTATCCTTTGGATGAAAACTTGTTGGAAAACTAGTCTCTCATTCTATCTCACATTAATTCTTTGTATCTCATATTAATTTACTTAAGGAAAATTGAATTTGATTTCCATACATTCACATATAGGTCACTCCCCTACTCCCTGCTCCCCGCCCAGGAATGTCTGTTCTTTGAACACAATGAAATTAAGCTAGTGATACTTGGGGACTCTGTAAATACTTTGAAATTAAATATCACATTCTAAAAATCCCATTGGTTAAAGAGGAAGTCATAGGGAAATTAAAAAAAAATACTTTGAATTGAATTTAAATACAACATATCAAAATTTATGGGTGAGGATGGGGGAGAAAAGGGAATCCTTGTTTCCTGCTGGTGGAAATATAATTTGGTGCAGCCATTATAGAAAACAGTATAATTGTTCCTCAAAAATTGACCATAAAATTTCAAATGATCTAGCAGTTCTACTCTGATTTTGTTTTTACCCAAACAAAGCAAAAGCATTAACCTGAAAATGTATCTTAACTGTCATGTTTACTGCAACATAACAGCCCATGTAGGGAAAAACTTTCCTGTCCAGTGGTGGATAAATGACTAAAGAAGTTGTTGTAAATATGTGAACGTGTGTGTGTGCATATACACTTACACTGGATGTTAATTCAGTTATTAAAAAAAAGAAAAATTTTGTCACTTGTGACAACTTGGATGATCTTGAGTACATTATATTAAGTGAAAGAAGTCAGAGTGACAAGTACTGAATGATCTCACATCTATATGATATCTAAAAACAAAATTAAAAACAGCCCAGCTCATAGACATGGAGGAGAGATTGGTGGTTGCCAGAGTGGGGAGTGCAGGTGGCGAAAATGGTAAATTTTTTTCATTTTAAAAAATAATAATTTATTGTGATGCATAACATGGCAACTACATTAATAATGTAAAAAATACTCATTTATGTAAAATACATTTATCATCTTTAACTGCCTTACTATCATTAATTTTATGATTTTTGTTGTTTTTTAATACAACACGAACCTTGACTGATCCTTTTTGTTAGTGACATGATTTACTTTTTGGAATATATTCTGGAGAATAAAGAAGTTAGGATGCCAAATTTGAGGTTTTGAGACCAAGTATATAGATTTCAAATTTGAGATTGTTTACTATGTACTGTTTCTTATCCTGCTCCCATTTTATCTCCTCTAGCATTCTTTCAGGAGCATAGTTTTTGTTAACAAAATGTTGCCATCAAGATGCTGTTTGTTTTTAAAACTCAGAAACTCAGATTCAGTTCCATATATTTAGGAAATAGTTGATAGATTCTACAACTTTACTAGTATTTTTGACTTTATCTTCTGCTCATACAAAATTGACAGCATTTAGCCTTTTTTCACCAAAAAAATAATTATTTTCTGTAGTTTAACTTGATATTTTAAGATGTGTAGCAGTATTTTCTTTTTACACACTTAGCAAATTACAACTATTTGATAATTTGTTTTCTCTAGGAATTTAATTTTTGATGTAATTTTTTTGATTCCCTTTTGTACTTTGAGGAATATATACTATATGTTAGCAAGAGAGGAGATTCTAACTTTTTATGTATAAGTAGATAATTAGAAACAAAAACTGGAGAGTTTTGAGAATTAAACCTTGTGTTCAGAATTTGATAGGTAGGATGGCTATGTAAAATTCTTTGTGAATTCTTCATGTTCTGTGAGATCACTGTTTTCCAGAAAGTCATATCTCCTTAGCAAATTTTCAAATACTCTTGGTAGTGCTGGGTTTTGAATATTTACTGATATATTTTATATTATTAAAATAATGCAGCATTAGTTTTGTTTAAGGTTGTGCTTTTAAAATGTTTATAGGTTGTACATTTATTGTAGCTTGAATAGGTATGTAAAACTACAATGTATAGTTTTATTTATAAGGGCACTAATTCAAGTATTTCATGTGGATTATAATAATGACACTGCATTAAACATCTTACGAGCTTTTTGTATTCATCACAATGTGATTATGGAGTGAGTGTGCTGATAATAAATGGCTTCTTCCTCTTCCTACCTAATTAAAGTGAAAAGTGAGGTAGTTAAAATCATTTAGTCAAGTGAGCATTTATTTTTTAATAAGAATATCTAGTGTTTTTATTCCACCTTATGTTTTTACTGGGCTTCATTTAATTTTTTATAATGAAATTTATTTATTTTTCTACATAGGTTTTCGTTTTTGCACAGTATTAGTTCTCTCCTCCCAGATGTAGACCTTATGATTCTCTCACTACCATGGCTCCAGTGCAGCATCACCATAGTTCCTTCCCACCCCTTTCCTCTGGGCTTTTAGATAGAACCTCTTAGCTGGCCCCATGAGGTAAGCAGGCAGATACTATTGCTTCTCCATTTTGAATCAGGAGCTTAATTTAGTGGGATTACATGACTGCTCAGTTTTTGCTGTTGAAGCATTTGGGCCTTCAGTTTACCCCTCTGTCAGCTTCCCAGTGTTGCCTATTTGCCTTTAGTGCCAGAGTGGGAGACCTGTTGCAGCAGAGTTCTCTGTGTTCAGACTCAGACAAGTGGTATCCACTCTGATTAGGTTGGTGGGAACAAATTTCCTTTAGATAAAGGAACTCTAGTAAGAGAAAATTTTGTAAATATCCTTTTGGAGCTCTCTCTCTGTATAATATTTTTTTGTCCATTTCTTTAAATATTTTTTTCCTAAGATTTATTTATCTATTCATACAGAACTGGGGTACAGGCCAGAGATGTGGAGGGTGAGAGGCTTCACCAGGGACAGAGTGGGGAGCAGAACAGGCAGATTTACGAACTGCTGAGGGGAGCAGCGGGCGGGCCAGGAGAGGTCTGCCTCGCCATGTGGATCTCCTCCGGGGCAGGCGGGGATCGAACTCATGCGGAAGTGGCTTAAGCTTCTCAGTGCAGTGCTTTAACCCGCTGTGCCACCAGAGAGGGCCCCATTTCTTTAAATATTTTAAATATCCCCTCCCAATCCTTTGTGCTTGTCATGTTTCTACTGAAAAATCTACTGACAGTGAGAGTCCTTTATTGGTTACCCTTTTTTTAATGATGTTTTCCATAGTTTGTCCTTGTCATTGGCTTTTGGCAGCTTTGTTGTGCTGTGTCTGGTGTGTGTCCATTTTGGATTATTTTGCTTGGAACTCTGTGGGCCTCTTGAAGGGTGGTGTCTGGTTCCTCTCTCAGATTGAGATGATTTTCAGCAATTCTTGTTTCTGTGCCTTTCTCTTGCTATTCTGTGATCCACACAATACAGATAGTATCTCTCTTTAAGTTAAATTTCTCAGTGAACTCTTAACACTATTTTCATTATTTTTTCTGTTATTCTATTGGTGTATTCTCTGGCATTGTGATTTCAAGCTCATTAACTTCATTGTTTACATGAGTCCTCAATTATCTTTTAACTCAGTTTTAGTATGTCTTAACTCTTTTACTTCTAACTGTAGCTGCTTTATGTTTCTTTCCATATTTTCTTTGTCTTCTTTATGTGCTGTTTTACCCTCCATTTTCAAGTTACAGCTGTTACCTTGACCTTTTCAGTCATGTTCTGGGAGTTCTGCTAGATTGAGACTTCTCTCAGCATTATTTTGCTCCAGCATTTGTGCTATGTTGTCCGTCTCCTCGTTTTTAGTTTAGGTTATAACAGGAATAAACTTCGAGACTGTTACAGTAATAAACCGGTACTTTGAGGGTCAGTAGCACATCGAAGGACCCCTCCAATGAGCGTCAGGAACTCAGGCTTCCTCTGTGCTTTGGTTTCCAGAGTTGTGTGACGGGTCCACAGGGTCGTTGGTCTCCCACCATGTCTCCTCTCCCACTGTGTCTTCTGCAACTCCAAGCCACACTTGAGCACTTGATACAGCTCTGGGCATGGATTGTAGTTGATATGGGGTCTCAAGCTGGGAGTCGTTCTCCTTTCTTTCCATCACAGAGCTTCTCCTGAGGTGTTCATTGCAGTTATTAACAGGTACTGAAATTGTAGTTTACTAAGCTTCATTTGTTTGTGTTTAGCCCGGTGGGGGGAGGGGACGGAGTGGGGGGGTGAGAAGTAGTAGTTGTATTGAATATGCCAGCCCCTGTTTCAGGTAGCAGCCTCTCCTGTGAGGAGGCACAGGTGATTAGGCCTGTTTAGCCTAGAAAGTTCAGGTACCAGCTATTCTGTATTAGAGCCTCAAGCTAGTCGTCCTTTCTCAGCATCACCATCC